CCAGAGCACCGGGCACGACTGGCACTGGCACTGGCAGTTGCAACGCGATTGCCGACGAGCGCAGACATGTCCGTTTCCGTGTCCGTGTCCTGGTCGAGGACACTTGTCGCCCTCACCATCGCCTGGCTGAGCATGGTCTGCCTGCTGCCGGTGGAGACCTTCTGCGACACCTCCTACTACGAAAAGTACTACGCGGCCCGTCGCTACGTGCCCCTCAAGCGGAATGCACCGCTCCTCTTCAACTTTACCCTCACGCTGACCGACTCAGACACAGCCCAGCTGGCGGCGCACGAGCGACTCGCTCTGGTCGGCAACCTGGCTGTCCTGGGCAGCTGGCAGGCTAGCGGAGCGCTGCTCCTGAACCGCACGGACAGCCACAATCAGTGGAGTGGATCGGTGGAGATTCCCCAGAACAGCAGCGTGGAGTATCGCTACTTTGTCGCCGCCGTGGGACGCTCGGGCAGTGTGCAGGTCCGCCGCTGGGAGTCGCATGTCTTGCCGAGATCCTTCAACGTCACCAAGCTCCCGGGCAACCGAAGCGACGAGTTTGGGCTCATCCAGCACGAGCGACAACTGACGCGAGGCTGGCTCCAGGCATCCGGCACAATTGTGCAGCTAAAGGTGTTCCGCAAAGCGCTGCGCCTGGAGGAGGATCCCGACTCTGGCCGTGGCTCGTTGCGCCTGCGCTTGCAGCCAGTGGATCCCGGCAGTCTGTCGCCCATTCTGAGCTCCGCCCGCGCCAATGTCGAGTACGTGCGCATGGCCTTCGCCGACAGCAAGCTGAGAGTGCAGCCGGAATACGGAGTGCCGTATGTGGCCCAGGATATCCTCATGTATCACGCGACCCTGGACGAGGTCGGGAAGGTGGCCTTCCTGGTGGAGGTGTATGCAGAGCAGCCGGAGGAGGATCTGGTGCGGCTTCTGGGCTACGCCCATCTGCAGCCCACGTCTCTGGCTGGCAGCGAGGGCAGCGTGACCCTCAGCCTGATCTCCCCACTGTGGCAGCGGGTGGTGGGGGAGCTGCGACTGGAGTATCTGCTCATCCGTCCGATGGCCAGCCACAGCTTTGATATGCGCACCAGCTTCGCCCACTACTGGCGCGGCAACTGGACGGGCCTGGAGATCGGGCATCGGGGATTGGGCAAGAGCCTGACAGTCACCAGCAATGCGGCGCCTCTCATTGAGAACACGCTGGCCTCGATGCTGGCCTCCGTGGAGCTGGGCGCTGATCTCGTGGAGTTCGATGTGCAGCTGACCAGCGATCTGGTGCCCATCATCCATCACGACTGGAGCATCCACGTGTGCATCCACCCCAAGACGCCGACGAGTCGCGATGACCTCACCGAGGTGCTGCTGAAGGACATCACCTACGAGCAGCTGAAGGAGCTGAAGACGTACCAGGTCGTGGGCACCAAGATCATCGAGTACCCGGCGCACAACAATGTCGAGCAGCTGGAGCAGCGCCTCTTTCCCACGCTGCAGGACTTTTTCGAGCGCGTGAACAAGAGCGTGGGCCTGGACATTGAGGTCAAGTGGCCGCAGGAGAAGCGAAACGGCGACTACGAGAGCGAGCAGACAATCGACAAGAATCTGTACGTGGACCGCATTCTGGAGGTGGTGCAGCAGCACGGCTGCGGGCGTCTCAATCTCCTCAAGAGCTTCGACGTGGATGTGTGCTCCCTGCTGCGCTTCAAGCAGAACATGTACCCCGTGCTGGTGCTCTCCAGCAGCACGAATGACTACTACGCGGATCCGCGCACCAGCACCGTGGAGACCATTAACTTTGCGCAGGCCTTCGACCTCGCCGGCATCGTGCCTAACACCGTGCCCATCAAGGCCAATCCCGCACTGGTGCAGAGTGCCAAGGAACAGGTGCCGCTGGTCCTAGTGTGGGGCGCTGACCTCAAGGATCGCTCCTCCATTGACTCGTTCATTCAGATGGGACTCACGGCCGTCATCTACGACCGCATGGACCTCTGGCTGAGGTCCAATCAGACGAGTGCCTTCGAGTCGGAGGAGGATCTGCCCGACTTCTTCCAGCTGCAATGCGAGCCGGCGCCCGAGAAGCGTGTGGTTAATGCCACCATCGAGAGCATCCTGAGCAATGTTAACTTCCTGTAGTGCTCCCCATGCACTTACTTATTTACATATTTACGTCAGTCAATAAAAACGAGCTAGAAAAAAGAAGGATTCTGATCTGGGTGTGGTGTGGTGTGTTGTGTTGTGCATTCGTAATTGATGTGCCACGTTCTGGCAGCTATGAAACGTGAACTTGAAAATTTAAATCTTTAATGAAATCATTGCCATGTCGCAGCGTTGCTGATGCTGATGCTGTTGCTGCTGGGTGGCTTCCATTTGCATGCCCATGCCCAGACCCAGTTCGCAAGCAATCAACTGGCAGGGGGTATAGGAGGAATGATGCTGATGTTATAGTTCCGCACGCTTTTCCCCAGTGACAATTACGCGAGCAGCGAGCAACGAGCAACGTGTACCTGCAGTTCTCGGGGCTTAGGGGTGCTGGTGTCCGTGCATATGTAAATGCGAACATCGAGGCATTTATTACAGTCATGTATCCGAACCGCTGTCGTTTTTTGCCCGCACAGAGAATTGCCATAACTATAATTGGATATGCAAAAACCACACACAAAATGTGCAAATTGTCAAGAATAATAATAATTGCAATGATCCCAAGCCATATGCATAATTCCATATATAATGTTTGTGCTTTGTCAAGCTTGTTATTGAAAACTGCAAGAACATCGATTAGATTTTGATGGTAATCTTATCTTTGGCTTTATTTTTGCAGCGTCAGCTGATGGAGGCCTACATTCGGCAGAAGAGAGCCTCGCCGGGCATGGTCCAGGCCAGCGACTTGCAGATCAGCCGACCCATGTCTGGAATGCGCAGCAACAGCCGGGAGCTGCATGCCTATGACGGACCAATGCAGTTCATCAGCTCGCCACAGAATCCCGACCAGATACTGACCAACGGCAGCCCCGTTGCTGGGACCGTTGCCATGAATTCGACACGAAATCACTCGAACAACATGCGCAGCCTGAGCACCATCAACCAGGAGGGTATGTGGGCCCCCTCGAGGCAATCTTTATTATAGATAATGAGTGCCACTCTTCCTTTCACAGCGGATCTAATCGAGGAGATCTCATCGCACGAGCTGGAGGACGAGGAGAGCAGTCCCGTGACGGTGATCGAGCAGCCACAGACCGCCCCGCACAGCGCCAACTCCACGCACACGCAGCGCCCCAGCACAGGCCGCCAGCAGCCCTTCAACGACACCATCGATGAGGATGACTACACCAACCGCAACATAGCGGGTGCAGCACCCGTCCGTCCCGTTGGACTGGCAACCTCGCCCTACAAGGAGGCGGGGCTAGACGGCAGTGGCAGCATGGGCACATCCAATGGAGCCGGTGGGGAGTCCGAGGGCGATGTGATCGGCCACATTGATCAGTTCGTGATGCAGCCAGCGCCACAGGGTGTCCTGTACAAGTGCCGCATCACACGGGATCGCAAGGGCATGGACCGAGGCCTGTTCCCCATTTACTATTTGCACCTGGAGCGGGACTATGGCAAGAAAATCTTTCTGCTTGGAGGTGCGTGAACCTTGGTCTTCCCCCTGGAGAACTCTCCTAATTCGATTCCTTTGCAGGTCGCAAGCGAAAGAAGAGCAAGACGTCGAACTATATTGTCAGCTGCGATCCCACGGATCTGTCCCGCAGCGCTGATGGCTTCTGTGGCAAGCTGCGATCGAATGTCTTTGGCACATCCTTTACGGTCTTTGACAGCGGCAACAAGGACAGCACGGAAAGTCCGCGTCTCGACCTGGCCGTCATCATCTACGTGAGTATAAAATAATACGAGTTGACAAGAGCTAAGCCTAAAGACAACGGAACTTACCCATCAGGACACGAACATACTGGGCTTCAAGGGACCCCGCAACATGACTGTGATACTGCCGGGCATGACTGAGGATGATCAGCGTGTCAAGATCAGTTCGGCGGATCCCAAGCAGACGGGCATTCTGGATCTCTACAAGATGAAGGTATGTGCTGGAGAGCTCGCTCTTGTCCAGCTCCAGTAATTGGTAATTCTTTTGCAGAACATGGACAACATTGTGGAGCTGCACAACAAGACGCCCGTGTGGAACGATGAGACGCAATCGTATGTGCTCAACTTCCATGGCCGCGTCACGCAGGCGTCGGTGAAGAACTTTCAACTGGTGCACGACTCCGATCCCGAGTACATTGTCATGCAGTTCGGCCGCACCTCCGAGGATGTGTTCACCATGGACTACCGCTATCCACTGTGCGCCATGCAAGCCTTTTCCATAGCCCTCAGCAGTTTCGATGGCAAAATAGCCTGCGAGTGAGGGAGGTAGGAATGAAGGCGTTTAGCCTTGTTTCCAGCCCCAGGATCTGTCCCGCTGCCTTATGTATAGATGTATGGATCGTGGATCATGCCCAGGGCATGCGAAGATGGAGATTGCCTCAGAAATCTAGTCACTCGAAGTGGGACAACGTTGATCAAATGTGTGTTGGATGTGTGTGTAATGTGTGTGTGTGATCCTCCCATTGCTCGTACAACATGTATGCAGAATGTGCTCACCGATTTTGTAAAGAATTATTATAGTAGTCGTTCGTGTAACTTTGTACTTCTACATGTGCCCCAAACCCCCCAGTAAACTGTAAGTAGATCAGTAAAGAGTTTAAAGTAAAGGTTCAAATATCATTTATCACTTTGATAGTGCCGCGTATAGCAAACAAACTAAACTAACTAAACAAACGATTACTATTAGTCGTTAAGAGAGCAAACTAACTTGTGCTGAGCTCGAAATATGTTTAAGTTCCCCACAAAAATGAATATCACAGCAAATACAAATACAAAATAAATTCAAACCATGCAATACAACATATTTTGTTTTTAATTTGGAGAAACCCATGGTAAAGTTGTGGTTTAGCTTAGTTCATTTAATCGTACACATATTAATATCGTTAAGTACATTTTTAATTGTAGTTTTCTGCAAAGGTAAATGCAAGATTCTAGCTGTCAAAGAAATTATAGAATTGTATTTACAAAATAAATAACCATTTTCACTCATTTGACGGCCTCTCATCACATTGGAAGTGTGCAACTAGTCCACAATAGTTGTGTAAATATCTTCAGATGTTAGTGTTTATAACTAATAAGTACAGCAGAGCTTACTCTGGAATATAGTGGAATATCGCATTTATCCTTAATCAGACTCTGAACACCTCACAGAATGCCAAACTTTTCACTCGACATAAAATGGTCAAGTGAAGTTTTCGTCTTTACACATTAATATCCTTTTGCTCTGACTTATGCCCGCTTTTGCTATGATCGCTTGCGAGACTTGTGTGGGCTGGCCCGATCTTGGGGCAGCTCAAACTCGTGCGGATCGTAGTCCTCGTAGGCGAGCTGCCGCTCTGGAGCCGACTCAGGTAACTTGTTGATTTTCTGCAGTCGCGAATGGACAATCTGCAGGTGGCGACCAATGTAGTCCTCGGCTGGAGCCAGCCGTTGGGCATGTTGCAGACAGGCCGCTGCCTTGGCCAGCCGCTTCCGTTCCACAAACACCACGCACAAATTGTGCAGTCCCTGGGTGTTCTGGGGATCGTACTGAAGAATGCTGCGATAGCATTTCTCGGCTGCATCCAAATCCTTCATGTGATTGATGTAGATGTCGCCCAGCAGGATGAGGCCTTTCACATGCGAGGCATGGTAGCGTATCAACTGGTTTAGGTAGGGCACTGCATCCAAAGGCCGCTTTGTGTCCGCCAACAGTAGGGCCAGATTGAAGAGAGCGCTGCGAAAGTCCGACTTGAGGTGAATGGCTCGCTTGAAGAACTGCTCCGCCTCTTCGAAGCTCGATTCATCCATGGCCAGCATGCCCAGATTGAAGTAGACCTTCTCGTTGTGATCATCCTTGGCCAGCACCTTGTACAGGCGCGAGCGGGATACCTTGCGCGCCTCCTCGCCACCCAGCTCCTGCAACAGAATGGCCGAGTTGAGCAGCGCCTGCTCGTGCTCCGGATACAGCTCGATGGCCTTGTTGAAGTACACCTGAGCCTGTTGGCTCTTGCCCTGCTCCAGAAAGACCACGCCCAGGTTGTAGTAGATGTCTGCGTTCTCGCTGTCATACAGCAGAGCCTGCTCGTACACCTCCTGCGCCTGGGCAGTGCGATTGAGCTTCATCAGAATGTCACCGCGGTTGATATAGGCCTGCAAGGGAAGAAAATAATTATTTTACAATCCCTAAAGTCGGAGTAAGCAAGGGGATCCCACCTGAACGTAGTCACTCCTCATGCTGATGGCCTGACGATAGAGATGATCGGCCTCCTCGAGTCGTGTCTGGTTCTTGGCTATGAGATTCGCCAGGTTGATGAATACATTCAAGTGATTGGGTGCTATGCGTGCATGATAGCTGACTCCAGGCTTGGCCTGCGGAAACAGAGCTTTGGCCTTCACATACGCCTGCTCCGCCTCCGCATAGCGCTTGAGGTTGTTGAATGTCCGGCCGACATTGATGTGAGCGCCAATATCGTCCGTTTGAATGCGCACCGCCTGCTGAAAGTAGAGCAGCGCCTCCTCGTACACTCCCTCGTTTTCCAGGGCGTGTCCCACATTGTTGTAGAGCTTGGCATTGCGCTGATTCACATGCACACCGGACATGAACAGCGAGTACTCCGTACGCCAGTCCCGATTGCGTTGATGGGTCTTCAGTGCGTGGGAGAGCAGCAAAACGGCGAGTGCCACCTGCCCCAGGGTTCTCCATTTGAGGCTGCAACGTCGCTGCAGCTGCTCGAAGCCGTAGGCCACCAGCAGGCAGTAGCCCATCGATGGCATATACAGAATGCGTTCGGCCACCACAAAACCCACAGGGAAGAACAGATTGGAAGCCGGCAGAAAGGGCAGCACCATCCACCCGAGGCACATCAGCAGCGTTCGCGATTGGGCCAGATTGCGTGTGAAACAGGCCTTGGCCACCAGCAGTCCCAGGGCCAGGAAGGTGCACAGAGTAGTCACATTGCGAGCATCCGAGAATCCCTCCAGCAGCGGAACAGTGCCTTGAAGACGAACGTTTGTGAGGGAAACACTTTTAAATTAATTATTTGCACTCACCCATGGTCCAGTCGCAGCAGAGCAGGGAGGGGCACAGGAGAAGCCAGCAATTAAGGTAGATTAGGTAGCCGTAGGTGAGCTGCCGTTCGGGTGTATCTGCCGCTGAAGCAGGATTATCGAAGCGCGTGAAAATGGGCAACTCCGAGCCCATCACATAGACACGCCCTGCCAGAAGGGCCAGCGTGATGCCAGCCAGGAAGGTTAAGCGTTTCCACAGTGCCGACGAGGACCAGCGACGAGAGCCCGACTTGGGGGACTGCTGCTCGGGCTGCTCCTCAAAGAAACGCAGCACAAAGTGGCACAAATCCAGCGGGCGCAGTTGATGCACGACAAACAGCTCGTAGACAACGCATATGCCGGCAATGGTGATTCCCTGCTCCTTGCACAGCATGGAGGCCGAGAGACAACTGCCAAAGCAGAGGAACAGCCCCAGCCAATTGGTGCGCCGAGTGCATCCGGAATCGCCGACGGACTTTGCGTAGCTGAGAAAGGCGGCCAGGAAGCAGATGGAAGAGAGCAATTCAGCTCGACCGACGACACCAGTAACGGCCTCCGTGTGCACCGGGTGAATGGCAAAGAGCAGCGAGGCCACAAAGGCGCATGTGTTAAGCGAGGCCGAAGTTACATTACTGCCCACGGCCGCACACTGCCGGAGCAGCAGCCGGCACACCCGACGCCAGAGCAGGCAGACCACCAAGTGCAGCAGCAGGTTGACGAGGTGATAGCCAAACGGCTCCAGTGCATGCAGCAAGTAGTTGAAGCGGAATGTCAGCACTGTGAGCGGTCGGTAGGACTTGTGGGACTGCTCTTTGCGCATCGGCGTGCCCCAGAAATCGTTGAGAAACACATTACGCAGTGGGGTGTGAGGCCGCAAGTCCTTGTTATCCCTTATGGCACTGATGTCGTCGAACACGAGTCCGCACTGGGTGCTGTTGTAATAGCAGGCGATGCACGCAATGCAGATGCACACAAACTCGAGCAGGTTACGCTGCGAGGAGCTGCCTCTGACCACCACCTCTCTCTCCCGGTTACGGTTGCATGGCATGGCAAAGGCTGCTGCTGCCGTTGCTGCTGCCTGAACTTGTGGCAGCTGAGGGCTAGCGCTGACGCTGACGCTGACGGCAGCGCTGGAGTTGGGGTTCGTTGACATGCTGACTTCGCGTTACTTCGTGAAACGTTTCATGTATCCATAAGTGCTTATTCATTCGATGGAATTTTGCATTTCAGCCTCTTTGCTAATTCTACTATGGACGGGTTTTGGGGTCTAACTACATGATCTGAAAGTAAACGGAAATGGAATAGAAATGGATAAAATTAGTTGGAAAATGATTAGGTTACTGATATGATATGTTACAGGAATACTCTATGGATAGTCATGCTAAAAAATGATTTACCCTGTGATAATAAATAGTCCATCGTATACCCCTGTTCCAGTAGATGTATAATGTTTATATTCTAGTTACTTTTTGCAGTAACCTTTACGCATAAACACACTCCCCACGCATACATCCAAGCATCATAGATACATACCCGTCTACGCGTACTGTTCTTACTTTCATACAAATCTCATTTTTGTATGGTCCCCTTGAATCCACATACCTTTTGGCTTCTATTCAAGTGCCGTTTTTAATGGCAGACTTTCTTTTCTTCCGTTCTTTTATGGCCGCTTGCGGGTTTTTGCAAGGAAGCAAAAGCTGATTGCGGAAAAATCAATTAACGCGCAACAAAGTAACTTTGTCCCGGTTACTGTCCTCGATACCAACTGCACACCCAAAAGGCCCGAAGTTAACAAAGTTGTAAATGGAGGCAGCGAATCGACGCGGCCGCTGGAAGACCCGGAGAGAGAGCGATGAAAAATTGCAGGCAGCCAACGAGAGTCGCAGAGAGTTTTGTTTGTGCTTTGAATATTATGGAAGGCGAAGGAAGAGGGCATTACTAGGCGGGGCACATCGGCATGCGGATGCGGATGTGGATGTAGATGTAGATGGGGATGAGTGGATGCAACATGGAGAGGCAGGCAACAATGTTGCTCTCAATGTCATCGATTTTTGAGGCGGACAGTCAAAACAAACCACCACCGAAGTAAGCGCTCGTAAAGAGAACGCTTTGGAGTGGCAGCTGAGCGCAAGTTTGTTGCACGACCGACTTTTCCCGAAGGACGACCACGGGCTGGTGTTGCACGTGGTGCTCAGGTTTCCCGCCAATTGCTGCGCATGAGCTCTGACACCCTTGCACTTTCACTTCGGGGCTTCTTTGTCGCTCTCACGTTCTCACCATCACGGAGCTCTCTCTGAGAGCACTCTTTTGATATTAATGGATGTTTGTGTTTTTGTAAAATTACTTTGACCGAGATACGCCGGGGAGCTGCAGCTCGAGAGGCTGTCACACGCACGCCGTCCTCTCCCATGCGCTTTGGCATGAACCTGGAAATCGCGACGCCATTACAACACCGCAGTCCCACGGCGGCCACACACACCCACACAAGCAAACAATTGCGAATCCAACCAACTTTGTTGCAATTTTACAATGATTACAATGTTGCTGGGAAAATTTCGAGCTTGGCTTTAGTTTCAACGTTAGGGGAGTCTGCTTACCGTTGTCAATTAGTGAGTTACTTGTTGAGGCAGATTCATTTTAATAAAAACAAGCTACATTTCAACACAAATCCAACTCGGGGCCCTTGTTTTGTTGTTGTGGTATCGATAGCAGTGTGACCAAGCATTTATTAAACAAATATACCGATGTATATTTTATGATTTTGAAAATATAATCATTTTCCTCAATTTGTAGGTTCCGGCTAATTCTACTAACTAACAAGGGATCTCAGCGCTACAAATTTATTTTCATCCGATTGATTAGTAGTCAATTTTATACAAATAAGATGTCCTCGTCTTTACATGGTAACTACACGGCAAGTACACATGTGCTGTCGATAGTGAAACAACCCTAATAACGCGATTATATCGAAGGGCCCACAATTGTTTTCCATCTCTGGCCGCGTTTTTAGCAAAAGTTGGAAAAATTTTGTTTTTTCTGAAAAAAAGAATTAAAATATTACAAACAGAGCTATAATACCGTTATGGCTTCCGAGGACTTCTATTTGCGCTATTATGTTGGGCACAAGGGCAAGTTTGGACACGAGTTTCTCGAGTTTGAGTTCCGGCCGGACGGCAAGCTGCGGTACGCCAACAATTCCAACTACAAGAACGACACCATGATCCGCAAAGAGGCGTTCGTGCACCAGTCGGTCATGGAAGAGCTGAAACGCATCATAATTGACTCGGAAATAATGCAGGAGGACGATTTGCCCTGGCCGCCACCAGATCGCGTTGGTCGCCAGGTAAGTGCCACAATGCCGTATGACTGCAAGGCGTAGAGTATTGATACAAGCGTTTTTTCAGGAACTCGAGATTGTGATTGGCGACGAGCACATCTCGTTTACTACCTCAAAAACTGGCTCGTTGGTGGACGTGAATCGCTCAAAGGACCCCGAGGGCTTGCGCTGCTTCTATTATCTGGTGCAGGATCTCAAGTGTCTGGTCTTCTCGCTCATCGGGCTGCACTTTAAGATCAAGCCCATATAGGCTGTCCACACACATATTCGATTTTACGCATAAGTCTATTTAAACAGACGCATTATTTTTTGTAACGAAGCCTCTACAATACTAGTACTTTTATTAGCCCCAATGCTCCTCTACTTGTAGTACAATATTTATGTACAGTTTGGAGATCGCTCTGAGAAGCTGAAATAGGAGTAGTCTGTGTAATGAATAATAAATGACCATGAAACAAATGTAAGTTTTTCCTAAGGAAATAGCTTATTTATGGGACTAGGAAATGACATCACGATATCAGTGTTTTGGTTTCGTTTTCTGCCCACTCGAAAAGTTCCGAGCAAAGTTTGTATATATGTATGTACATACATATTTATTTGTAATTATGTATGAATTTGTGTCTTGCTTCTCTTCCTTTCCTTCAAGTTTTGTGTCGCAGGCAGTTCTCTTAACTCACACCATATCATCCATGCTCACCATCAGAAATTCCTATTTGATGCTCGTTTAATTGCTCTCCATCCCTTTCATAGGCAGCAACCAATAACGGATTGCTCTACTGCGTAGTTTCTGTATTTGCTGTTGATCCTCTGTCTTGCTTATATCCATGAAGCAATTATAGAAGGAGGTCTCGCCGGCAAAATAAGGGAAACGTAACAATGATGTCAATAAGTGAGAGTGAAAGGGATCTGCACTGTAAGTGTGAGTGAAACGACAATGGAGTGTGCGCCCACGGGACGACGAGACCTCCTTTTATAATTCTGCTCAAATTACAGTAATTTTTTTTTACAAGCGCAGCCTTGCACACAGAAATACATACATACATATATGTATTCATAGGAATAGTAGAGTCAAGAACAATCCAAGCCTTCTGCTGATCGATGCACTCAAGTTTATCAGAGAATCCAACGTTTTAAACAATAAAGGGTATACACAGCCTATGCACAAGCTGCGTCTCTGTACACTCATGCAAATGAATGTGACTGAAGTGGGACCGAAATTCAGTTTTGTAAGGGAGCTGAAAGTGAACAGACGCAAATAAAAAGCCCTGGTTGGTTAACTGATTACGGAGTTGTGGTGAAATTACTATCCTTTCCCCTCTCCGCAGAATTCCAAATGAGTGGCAGAGATCCATGGAACAGCAAATATCAATACCAGTGCCAATACAAGACGTATGGCAATAATGGTGGCAAAGGCCAAGTCGGAGCCAAAGGCGGCTGCAAACCTGCCATAGCCCCGCCTCCAAATAGGGGCAACAACTCGAACTCTCGCGGAGCACTCTGCACTGAGACGAAGTATCAGGTGACGGTCACCCAACGTGAATTCCACGCGTCTCCCGCTGGCGCCAGGAATCAAGGAGCAGTCGGGTATAGCGGACAAGGCGGCAGCAATTATAAAGCCGTGCAGCAAAATGGTGCCGCCACATCGAATTCGCGTGGGGCTCGCAGAGCAGACCACAATTAGATAGCCCAGGAGCGTGGAGAAGACTTTTATTATTAAATATTGCTTCAAATTCAATATAACCTGTAAATGGACTGGAGAAGCCATCAGTTTTTGTTTTATCAAAGTAACCCGCTGCAGCCGGTTTCATTCCAGAGTGCATGTATCGCATTTCAATTAAGTTTTCAATTTTTCTTTCTTCCAGAATTAAGTGCACTGAAAAAATGATCAAAATTCGTAAAGAATAATATGTATATTCCATATGACCATACAGACAAACAAATAAAGGTTATATAAGGCATAATTGGATTTTTTTTTACATTTACAATCTAATATTAGAATATACATAAAACAGCAAGTAAAATGCAGTAAATATCTCACAATCTGATATGCCTATACGCGTAATGTCTGGATAATGTCTCTTAGCCTAGGCCACTTAATGGGATTTCGAATAAAAACTGGTATAAAAGATGCATTCACGAAACGTCTCGAGATTCGTAAAGAGTTTAGATTTACAGAGGCTTACGAAATTCAGTCTTTGGGGTTACCTAATGAAGTACTAATTACAAACAGTTCTCCCTACGATCGAGCACGAGCGCGGACGCCTACTAGCCCTAGAGAAAGCTCTTGTAGAGCCGGATTCGTAGATCTCAGAGTCATAACTGTGGCTGCTGTTGATGAAGGGCCAGAGTGGCCGCAATATTGTTGCTGGGTCGCTCCATATAGCCACCGTGTCCTGGCATGGGCATTGACATGGGCATCTCCAGTTGCTGGGGGTGATGGAGCTGATGCTGCTGCTGTTGCTGTTGGAGTTGCTGCTGGATATGTTGCTGTTGCATATGATGCTGTTGAGTGCTTTGATGGTTTTGCTGCGGTAGCTGCGGCTGTTGTTGCTGGTGTGATGGCGCTTTAAGCTGACTGGGAGATACCTGGAGTGGTGTATTGCTGCCCAGACCAGCACTGCTGCCTCCAGGACTGGGTCCACCCTCCTTCAGGGGACAGCCGATTGTGAGACGCACATGCAGACCCGACTCCTTGATGAGATTCACAACATCGCCGTGCGACATGCCAGCTATTTCGATCCGATTTACGGCTATAATGCGATCGCCCACCTTCAGCTCCCCACAACGATCCGCCGGACTGCCGGGAATAAGTTTTCCTATGGATTCAAGTTAAATATAAGATGACTGCAATTCAGCTACTTGATAATGTAACCTACCTATGGTCGAGCCGTAATAGTGATTCGATGAGGATATTATGACAAAGCCAAAGCCCTCGTTCTCATGTCGGCTGACAATGACATCGTAGGGATATCGTCGCATCTGCGTTACATGTGGAGAAGCCTGCTGCAGGAGTGGACCTCGGCGACGTCGCAGAATCATGGTAACTTGGCCCCGAAGACCAGACTCACCCACCAAAGAGACGACTTTGTGATGCGAAGAGTTTAGCTGTGCGAAATACATAGATAACCACAAAGCACTTTTTCTAGAGTCAAACTTTCATTCACTTACCACATTGATGCCATCGATGCTGAGTATCTCATCGCCGGTGGCTATGCGCTGATCCTGGTCCGCTGCTCCACCTGGAACAATGTGCCCGACGGTCACCTGGGAGCCCTCCTCGGTGCCACCGACAATGCGGAAGCCAAAGCCCAGAGCCTGACGCTCCAGTGTCACCTCGGTCAGCTCGCACTGGTCTGCATCCTCGGAGGCATCGAGCAAGGCTCCATTGCGCCAGCTGGGCGAGTGCTGCATCTGCTGCTGCGGAGGATCGAGGTTGGCAAAGCCCACACGCCTGCGATCGCTGAGCAGCTCGTTAACACGCCGCTGTATTCGCTCGTTCTGGATGTGAGCCGCCTGCAGGGGCGAGTACTGGCCGCTTCCTCCGGGGATCGAGGACTGCTGCTGCGGCACAAAGTATCCCGGACGATAACGCTGGGCCTGGCAGTCGTAGCAGTAGCAGGATTCGTGGTGGGTCAGTGGCAGCGGCAACGGCTGCATGCTGGGAGGCAGTCCATAGATGCCACCTCCATTATCCGTCTGCAGTGAGGCCTCGGCCAGGCGTTCGCTCAGTCGACTGACCATCTTTGGATAGGGGTCCATGAAGGGTATGTCGTCAAGCTCCTGAAGACTGTTGTTCGACTTGCCTTGAGCGTGCTGCTGAAGAGCTTTTCTCGCCTCCGTCTCGTCTGCTGAAACGTCGTTGCCGTCCACCTCATTGCTGGGCGTCTGTACCCTGGCACGTCGTGTGTCCACCAGAGGCGTCTTCGGACGCATGGGGAGAACCTCTTTGACTTGGGTGCTGTACAGGTCCGCCGTGGGTGTCTTGCTGCGGAAGAGACCGCTGCCCACAAAGTTCTTGCGCAGCTTGGCCACGTTCCCCACCTGATTGAGTTGACTGAGCTGACTTAGCGGGTTGGCAGGTGGGTCGGGAGGCGTGCGTTGGATCTTCACGGCTGTAGGCGTCGTCTGGCTGCACTCCTTTAGCAGCTCTACCACATAGAAGTGCGGCTTGTTACGAACATTGATTCCATTGATCTCGAGCAGGACATCGCCCTCCATTAACTGCGTGCAGCAGCTACGATCGAGAATCTTCTTAACGATTTGGCCGCAGGCAGAGTCGGCAATGGTGAAGCCGAATCCCATGGCTCCCTTCATTATCGAGAAGGTGTAGAGTTCCGGCTTTTTCATCAGAATAAAGCCACTGCCACTGGCACTCGTCTTGCCGGCCCCTTCGCCTGACAGGTCCAAGAAGTTGTAATTCCCATCCATGTTGAGGCGCCGCTGCTTGTCGGAGTCGCGTCCATCGACAGCCAGGGCCACAGCCATGGTGGTCACCACCTCCGTGTTGGGATCATTGGGGTCGAAGGGCAGCGGATAGCCGCGACAAACCTCCAGGGCAGCCCTCTCTCCGGGCAGTATCGACTGGAATATGTTGACCATATCGTGATGCGTGTAGCCCAGAACGCAGGTGTCGTTCACATACACCAGAACGTCGCCGGTCTGCAGCTGGCCATCCAACCAGGCGGGACCATTGGGCACCACTGTTTTGATTTGCAAAAACTCCTCAACATCGCCGCCAGCGCTTCCGTCGCTACCAACGATGGTGAATCCCAGGCCACGGGTGGACTTGAGCAGCGTGGTGTTGATGCGCTGACCCTGTAGCTCTGCGGGATTGCGGGTGAACTTGTAAAGCAGCTTGAGTGGCGCTTCATCCTCAACCTCCGCAGGAAGATGAGTTCCATCCACTGCCGTTGGTGTCTTGGAACGTTGCTCTTGCTCCAGCTGCTGCTGATGGTTTTGTTGTTGTTGTTGCTGCTGTTGCTGGAGTTGAAGCTGCTGTTGTTGTTGCTGCTGCTGTTGTTGCTGCTGCTGCTGACGCTGCTCGGCAGCTCTCCTCTTGGCCTCCAACACGGGGTTCTCGTACTGCGTCCTGCGATTCACATGATCGATAAAGTACATGCCATACATGGAGTCCTCGATCTTCTCCCAGCCATAAGGCAACTCATCCTCACAGCAATCCTCCAGCGACTTCTTCTGGTACTTGGACAGGCGAGGATCCAGCCAATGGGAGGTTCCAGTGTTGTGGCTGCAATGGGAAAAATAGAATCGTTCAAGTTTAAGGCCACAATATAGACTTAAGAGCATTCAACTTACTCGATGAAGTACAATTCACCGCGTTCGGTGTAGGCGGTCTCCCATTTAGGAGGCAGTGGTCCCAGGCCATCGCCCGGATCCTCATGGTTGCCATCTCCGCCTCCACACTCGCTGCCCAAACTGCCATCACCAGCCTCACCGTTGTAGTACGTGTTCTGCAGAAGATTCTCTGCAAGGAAGAAGGGAAGGAAGAAGTTTAGTTAGACTCAACCTCAAATCGTTCAATGAACCCAAATGCAGGATGTTGCAATTGGTAAATCAAAGTCACAGAGCAGAGCTGATTGCTCAGCCACCCGAAAATAGTTTGGTATGGCATCGCCCCCCACACCACACTGCCCCATCCAACCATTCGACTACCGTCGGTTGATTGAAGCGTAAAGAGTTTTCGATTGGGGCAAGCCGGAATTATAATTATTATTAGCATCTTTGTGTGGTGCTGTGCTGCCAGTGGACAGTCAGGCCAGGGGACGACAGTTGCCTGGCAGGCTCTAGTTAGGCTAATGACCTACTTTCACATCCAAAGAGAGAGAGAGAGATGAATATGGGATGAGTTGTGGGTAGTCGTAGCTCCCATCGCAATGATTCGCCACTCTGGTTAAATGCGGCGATGAGTAATAGAGAAATTTGTAATTATGGCCAAGCCTGACCTGGCTCCTTTAGGCGGAAAGATGGAATGGCCCATGAAATGTACCAAATGTTACACCGTTTGTGAGATCTCACATGTAATATAAACTCAAAAGTGAGTCAAACTTCTGGCAAAATCTCTTTGGATCTAAGAAAATCTTACTTCACAGCACACCTGGATGCAGCATTGAATCAGGCCTGACATGATAATTATGCTAAAATATACATCGATGTCACCAGACTCTAGACCACTCATCGTTAACCCCTTTTAAAGGTAGATACATGTCACTAAACATGTACTACTAAACATAGATACATAGAACCCATGGAATAGGGCTAATCGAATGAGGGGGAATATTCAACAACATACGTACGAACATTGCGAATCATTTGAATAGAAAGATGAATATTTATGCCAGACACTTGCAAGTGGAACACGCCTCCGAGCCGTGTAGAATCGGGAGGGGAACGAAGGGTGACAGAAGCAAGCGACACACTGCTAAACGGTAAAAGCGCCATCTTCTCTCATGTTAGATTTAGCTTTTTCTTTCTCTTGCTCTCATCAATGGTAGAGAGAGATTGACAGAGAGAGAGAGAGAGAGTGCACGCTTAAATAACTACAGTCTGGTCTGCTGTATGCAAAACATATGTGTGTGCAAGCTTGGGAGTCTGCATAAACCAAAACGTGTGCATGCATGTATAAGGTGATGCATCAAGCAAGCATCATAGTGGTGCCATCTCGAAATGCGTTACTTTATTTTCTTGCTCCTTGCGAGCACGGAAGTTGCTGGCGGCACAGTTTGACTCCCTCCCAATTCCTTCGCCCAACTCCGCTTTTGATTCATCGTTTGCTTTTGCGCTGCTTTCGTTCTCAACTCCACTGCTTGCACTGCATTGTGTAAATATTTGTACAAGCAGAAGATGATAAAGGGAGAGGGCAGAGGGAGCGTATTTGATCGCCAGATGTAGCATAGAATACTATTCACAGCTGTACGCGTGTGTGTGTTGGTTCGACTAGGGATGCACAACCTAATGGAATGCACTTCACCTCACGTTTACCTAACCACACCCACTCACGGCTATTGCTTTCCATCCGTCCACCTACTTTTGCTCTAATCTTTCCTGCTTGAAAGTAAATTTGAAAACAGTTCAGGTATGCATATCTCCACACATTCTATGTTACGTTATTAGTTGTCTGCTGTTATCTATGCTGAAAATATATCTTCAAACGTATGTATGTATTTGCATACGTTCATGTGTAGATAAGCAGTGCAAATGATTGTTTTTCGTATGAATCATCATATTAGAAGAGGAATAGGGTCTTGAATCTACTCTTATTGTTTCAACTTCCATGATCCATATGTGAATCTTTTCTTAAAGGTATTTCCTCAGAGATGTTCCATTATGATAGCCAGAGAAGAACAAATCGTATGCCTTGCAGGCCAGCTCATAAAAGTGACTCATCCTCTGAGAATGTTGCCTTGAACGGATCCAAGAAAGAAAGAGGTTACGAAAAAAAATACGCAACGAGCCTCAAGTCGGAGGCTTTTTCTGCCGAACAAAGAATATCCATTACTCATAATTACAGGTATTGCCATAACGATGATGATAATGATTGACACACGGATCGGTGATCGGTACCACAGATTGTGGCTAATTGCATTTCAAATTTAGAGAGAGAAATTCGAAGAACTTTTCAGTTCTGTGCTGAGATCAATCTGATAGATAATTGGGGAATGCATTAATGCTTCGTTAAACGTCTAAAAATAATGATACGAGCACATGCTACAGGAACAACAAAACTCTAAACAAAGAGAGCAGCGGAACAGAACACAACATAAGAGAACAAAGAACCGAGGCAGACTTTCGGCGAACATGTGGTGCGGCCTGTGCCACCATTGGAGCAGATCCACATACAGACACCGACAATCCCCCAGAATCTGCAACAGCGTACACAAATTACGTAAAAGCTGAACCAGCAGTACGCACGGTCATTGACTTTGAGCCCCAGTGACAGAAAACAAAAGTCCAACCAAAAGCTACGCATGCGTCGTAACGCTGAGTGAAGGGGAGGTGGGGTGTAAGGTGGAATGGGAGTCACAGAGCGGGCAAAGCGAACAAGGCAAGGGGGCGTGACTCGGCCAGGCCGTTACGGAGTTGAGGCCACAACTAGCTATTTAATTCGCATTTTGAACTTAAATGCTGTTAAAAGAAACACAAAAAAAAACCATTATCTAATTGCCAATGTTACCCACTTTGGCATCAGCCACTCTTTCAAGGTTCCACCGATCTCGAAACGATCACAGACACCAGACACAGTCAGAGTGTCAAGATCGATATACTCCGCTGACTCCAAAGATCATGTTCGACACGTTCGGATATTGCCACTTGTAAGCTGTCACCGGGAGTCGTGTGGCTTTCAACACGATCGTAGTAAAGCATGAAGAATTCAAAAGAAATCGTGGGGACACACAAGAGTCCAAGGATTGGGGTCAAAGTTTTCCTATAGCTGTGGCCACTCCCTTTAGTAGGAATCTGCAAGATCTTCTGTAGCTTCTTGTAGGCACCAGAAAAAGATGTTTCAAATGTTTAGGCACTCCCAACAAAGTGAAAGAGCGGCCCAACTTTAATTTGTGTAATTCCCGAGTAATGTTAAAGTAAACGTAAACATAAATAAGCCAGTAATGAGACGCTTGTTCTTCAACTCTAGCAGTACGTATGGATATCCCGTCTAGACCGCTAGACTGCTTGAGCTGAAGCTGCCGCTGTATCTGCATTTGTATCTGGAGCTCATGGAGTTTCCCCCATGTCACAGACTGTCCACTTGAGCATACGACGGGACGGAGTTCCATTATGGGGCAGCAAGAACAAGAACTTGTAATTTACTCGGACTTGCACTCGTATGCAGTACTCGGGAGTTAGCGACGCCTCTTGCAACTTTACATTAGCAGTGTCTGTGCTCATCTCAATTGATGTCATCGAGTCAAGCAACGTGTGTGCCCCACTTGGGGACCAGCATGAACCCAACTTTGTCTTTGTTCTCGCAGGGAAAAAGGGCGGAGACTACGGGCATGGCTGTATGTCATTTGTGACAAGACTCCTTATACTTATACTTCTCCTTCTTGGACGCAGACGCTGATGCGGACTCCCTCTTTGGTGCTTCACCTAATGATTGCATCTAATTGGCTTTGCTGCTTCGTTAACTTGGCTTACATGGCACGCCATAAACTAGTGGATCTGCCTGGCTCCCTAGCTGTCGTAATCAAGAAATTAATAATCGCATCATATGATGCAGGGACAGGGACAAAGCCCCGCAGAAGGTTCTCCACGCTGCCGCCTGCTAATTGCCTCTGACATGAGGCGTAAATGATAAACAAAAAAAGAAAAGCAAGCAGAATTGTGCGCTGAGAGTCCCGCTTCCCCTACACGTGGGTGAGCTTGAGTCCACGAGGGGTTCATTGCCACCACTTGGAGGCGTCTCAGACTTGAGCACTTCTTCCGCTGCCTGCCAGATTAACATCCTCATTCCAGGAGCGCTTTATGTGTGTCTAATCAAAGCATCACCTTGCCATTAATTGAGTTGCAGCAGGAGATACTTGGGCCACAGGTGTTGCCCAAGAGAACCCCCGAAAAGAGGTTGCCAAAACCCCACGCTTACCTAACAATGGTATGACAGAATGGAAGGGAAATTAAGCCAAGCGGCAAAGTCTCTACAGATGATTCAGATAAAACCTAAACCACGATCTTGCCCAACTTCCGAAAACGATTCCCCAATCCACTCGCATATTTAAAACAGATCTACGGATGAATGAGTGGGTTTAGTTTGAATACAAAATGAGATGAAACTTGTTCGGAGATCTCGCTTGTGTTACCAATTTTAGATTTTGTTGGCCAAAATTTGTGCTCTTATAAGGCTATTTTCTGAAACGCAGACCTTTGTCTGAAGATTCACAAAGCTATTAACCACAAAACAACTTAATCACGCAAGCAATTCCCCTCATACTATTCTCTCTAGCGCAGTGCTTAATCGTAGCCAGAAGATCTTCAATATGGACAATTTGGTTAAACATTTTCGATCTAATAGCCACATCCACACCTACAAACTACAACCTACAACTTGTACTTCTTGTGTCGTTTAGTTGATGGCTTTAAATAGTAATTTTCCCACATCATCTATGTAAATTCTAGACCAGCAATTACAAACGCCCCCACGAGAGCACGGGCCAATAAAGTAAGTCAATCAGCGACAGAAACGGGGCTACCCCTCCGCACCTCGAATCTCTACTCGTATTTAAAAGCCACTTTTCAGTTGGTTTGACTTTAAACTGAATCAGCTTTTCGCTTCTTTTGCGTTCATTCATGAATTTGTGGTCTTACTATAAATTCACACTGAGACACTCTGAGGCTGAGGCTGAGGCTGAGGCTGGCACAAAAATGAGATGCCAAAAGTGGATCGACTGGGGTTCAGGGGCTTCCATGGCCGCTGTCTTGTGTTTCTCGTTGCTCGTTTCTCGTGTGTGAGAAAGTGATGACAAGTGGCTTAGATGTAACGGGAGTAGAGTATGACACTGGCAGCCCAGCAGGTGGCTACCCACTGTTCTATTGAGGGTGTAATACTTAGTCCTCTAAGAAGTAGCTAAGAAAGAAGACCCACAAGAAGGGGTCGGAACATTTGTTGTTGTCTTAAGCTCCAATCCAATCCAACCCTCCCATTCAGTTTTGTTCCAGTTTTTCGGTAATTTCCATTCGTCACAGAGGCAATCAATTTCACGGCATTGCAAGTGCATTTTCAACTTGAAATTGAAACTGAAAACGAGTGGAAATTGGAGTAGCAAGTGGGAATGGGAGTGGGAGTGGGAGTGGCACTGCAAGTGGGAGTGTAGTAGGAGGGCCACGTGCTTGTGTGCGGGCGGATATGAGTCACTTTTCTGTGGTGTCTCGAGAGCACTAATTAAAATTCATATTTTATGAGGCGAATCGTAAACGAAAATTCGATTTGGAACAAACAGAGACAGAGGAGAGGTAAGTAGCTTACTGCACAGAAATCCATCTGACTAAATATGTGCATGATTGATGCCTGTTATTCTCCATAAATTAGTTAGGCTTTAAGTGGCTTTTACCTTTGCTGCCTTTCAGTATGCTGCTCGGGTGTCCTGGCGGTCGTCCTATGGCTGGGCCACCGTTGATTCCATTATTGATTCCATTACCAGGCAGTCCAGCGATGTACTGATTGTGCACCGCCGACATCTGGCTGTTCAGCGAGGAGGTGCCACTCAGCGAGGCCACATCTTCGCGAGAGGCTGAGTTCCCAGCTGTGGCAGCCGCTGTTGCAGGGGCGGATTTCTTCACTGCCGGCGGCGGCGGTGGGGGCAGATGGTGATGGAGGTGGTGGTGGATGCCGGGTGGCGCCATCGCAGACTTATCCGCATTGCCGTTACCAGCCAACTCTGAGCCACTTGCAGCGGCCTCACAATTATCATCAACGCTGTCGCTGAATTTCTTGCCACTTCCGTTTGCCAGGCTAGAACTTAGATTCGAGTTTCCGTTAAATGCTGCAAAACTAGTTGAGACCGGAGCACCGGCAACGCCACTGCCACCGCCACTGGCACTGGCAGCAGGATGTGGATGTGGATGTGAGTGCGAGTGTTGGTGGGAAGCATTCAGAGGCGCCAACTGTTGCTGCTGCTGCTGCGGCTGTTGCTGTTGCTGTTGATAGAAGTGATTGGTAAAGTGCTGCTGCTGCTGCTGCTGTTGTTGTTGTTGGAGCATTAGGTAATCAGCGGCAGACGATGAAGCTGCTGTTGTCTTGGCCATTGGTGCGCCTCTGGCTGCCACGGCCGCTCCCCCGCCAGCTATAGTCGTTGTTGTTGCTGTTATTATTGGCATTTTAATCCGCTCTGCTCTTCTCTCCTCTCCACCGTTGGGTTAAATCGTTTTTCTATAGTCTGTAGCTAACCACTAACGATTTGCTTTGCCATTGCATTCGATCGGCTGGATAATTCACTTGGGTAATTCAATACTCGTTTCGTGTGTTTGTTCTCTGTTTTCTGTTCTCTGTGTGTTGCGGGATTGTTTAGCTAAACTCTGAGCGCTTCTTGGTGCTTTGGGGCTTTAATTCATTTGTCATTGAGCATCCCCATTCGCTGGCATCGCATCGCAGTGGCAAGAAGCTGCAAAATGGAATAATTAAAACGAGAATTCATGAATTATCATCACGCAAAGTAATACAAAATACAAAATACAAAACAATTAACATGCATATAAACAGTGGCTAATGATAAAATGTTTGTGTGTATGTGGGTTGCGGAAACAGAGAACTAAACCCTCAAAGTTGATGCTCCATCAAAAGATATTTAAAAGTTTATAGTCTCCCAAAATAGTTTCCATCCAGGCACCCGTCAAATACTGTGAACTTCAAACATTTCCGACATCTATCACTCCTTTCGCAAGCAAAACCCAAAGCCAAAGCCAGCCAGCTCCCGGCTAGACACGATTATTGTGGCACAGACTGCAGCTCCCTAAGTGGAGGCCATCGACAGTCCGTTCAGTCTCCCCTGCCCCTGCGGCTGCAGTGTTAACATTGTCAAAGAGTCAACTTCGGACTTTCCCATGCCAGATACGAGTACCATATTATTATTTTAGCTGCACATTCCAAGTGATGTTTTATTTTTTGGTTATGATTTTCGCCAGTTGAAATAGTGTAAAGCCTTGCAGAAATTGTTTTGGTTTTGGTTTTTTTTCACGACATTTGTCTCGTTAAGCTGCGCACGCAGTTAATTTTTTATCTGCTCAAAGACTTTCTTTCATTAAATGTTCGCTGCGGGTAAGAGCAAGCTCTGGCAGTGGTTTCTGGGCGCTTGCTTCTCATAAATATTTATATGGAACAGAGTAGGGGAGCACAGCACTATTATTGTATATCCAAAACGTTGACTCACGGACACGACAAAATTATGAAAAGTGAATAAGAGAGCAGCGTACAAGAAAATTAACTGTGCGAAAAAAGGGGCATCAAGCACGACAGCAACACATTCGGTTCCTCTCAAGCGAAAAATGTACTCCAATGAGAAAATACGTATAATACGAGAAGCAGCAGCAGGCCTGGCCTGCCGCGGTTCAGAGGGAACTCTGCGGGTAGTAGCACCGACATTCACCAACAAAGAATGCCATCAACAACAGGCGGGGAGAAACGAGTTTTTTTCAGAGCATGCCTCCAGATCGCGGCAAATGCCGCAAACGAAAACCGAAAGGTAACCCCCAACAACCACAGGCAAGAACTCTCTTGGTCTGCTGTTGAGGGCTGGGCACTAGGCACGGTGGTGGTTCGGGCAACCAAATGCACTTGTCACTTGCCACACGGGGCACGTAGGCGCTGAGCAACCTGAGCGACCTGTGGTTCAAGCCTTGGTGGACCGACCGCTTGCTCAGCCACCTGTCGTCGTGTGGCGTCTTGGCGTTTTCCGAAAACTTCACGTAGCATTAGAGAAAACCCCTGCTGCAGGCCCCAAGCCACTTTCGACTGCAATCAGTCGGCGCACGACCAGACCAGTTGCAGTTAACCAGCCAGCAGGTGCGGGGACAACCGCAAGAGATGGAAAACGAAAAAAAATAAAAAACAAAAGCCATCATTTCACTTCATGGGTGAAATTCATCATCAACGTTTAGAGTTGTCGGTGAGGCGGCTAAAAAAATAAAGCACTCTAGTGGATGGCACGAAGCAAGCGATTTCGGTTTTTATATGGATGAAAGATCGTGATTATGGAAAGCAGACTGCCCCGAAAACTGGAAGTATCTGTACACAACACCTAATTGCTATCAATCATCGATGAACATGCAATAATTACCCATAAATAAACTTTCTGCAGGGGAAATTAATGGTCATTGCCATGGGAACAAATTGGAAAACTGTCAACTCAAGATAAACAATTTTGAGGCCGCACAAATCAACTTCGAAAGAGTTCGCACCTTTTCTTGTTGTTGTTCAGGTTTGTTTAGAGATCAGCAGTATCGGAGAGGCGATTGGCACAAGCACTTTCCATTTTATTTCGACTTTTTATTTCGGATTGAGGCGATGAAAACCGCAAACGCGTTTTCCAAATGGCGCAAAACACACGAGCGCGAAAAAGACACACACACACACAGACGCAGATGCAGATGCCGGAGCGTTCCCACTTGCTAACTGTGATAATATGGCCAAGATTGAACTTGTTGTTGGTAGCGCTGCTGCGTACCTCTTGGAAACACGTTCAAACCTGCCGAGACGCTCGTGGTCTGAGAAAAACGAGTTGCCCACCGATCACTCCAAGTGTTTAATGGTATTTATGATTTTCCACTAAAATTGCATTTAAACGCAATTGGATTTTTCCCGCTGGAAATATATAACACCAAACCGCGACAGAATATTCTGATATAATAGTTTGCGACGATATTTTTGACTATTTTAACGGACTCTTTTGAATTCGACACTATTCTGTTGTTTTCTTGTCGACGACAACGACACGTTCATTCATGTTCACGATTGGGGCATTTTTGGGGCGGCAAGGCCGTTTTCAAATACGACCGCCTACAAATGTTGCTGGGGGCCTAAAAATGTTGTTCGGCAACAAGCGTGTGTTGCGGAGTATGGAAAGGTATGGACAACAAGTAAAACGGGCCATAAAATGCGACTCGTGAAATGCAAAAACCACCTCCATTCCTAACATTCCATGAAATTTGTCTCCCCAGGATAAATTTGTTGATCTAAAACTCAGTTTTCAGTTTCAAGTATGAGCGAGAGGAATCTAGAGATGTCCGATACTATCGATCCAAAATGAACAAGGAAGTATCGATGCCCAACGATCGTGAGTACAAACCTGTTGCTCGCAAGCACACACACCAACACACATCCACATGAAAGTATGCACACCGACAAACAAAACAAAATGCACTGTGTTGTACGGGGAATTTAAGAATAAAACTACACTGAAAAGTAATTTACAAACCAGTGAATCACTAAACTGGTTTCATTTCTTCAATTTGTAACTTAATCTGATGCACTTCTCATTATTTTGTATCATAAAAAATCGAACAGGACAGAAACAAAACAAAACAAAAAAACACGACGCGCAGAATAGGATTGTTGATTTTATATCGATATATCGGTTGTTCAATGAAACAATATATTGGTGTCTTATTCGATTTTGTTTTGCTATCGAGGGGATATTCTCGCAAAAACGTTGCATGTCCATTCACAACGGACCTTAATGATTTCCCAGTCCCCGGCAATATTTGAATTCAAAACTCAAAATGCCACGTCAAAGTAACTTTATTCAAAACATGTATGCTCCAGCATAACAGTACAATTCTCAAAAAAACAAAAAGAAAACTAAATTTAAAGTGTATTACAAAAAACAACAAAATTCAAAGTGTATGAAAATTCTAAAAACCATTAAAATTTACCTTCTCCATGGAAATTGGCGGTAAGTGGTGGATGGTTCTCCTACTTAATTGAATGCTACTACCCAAAACCAACAGTTGCTTTGAACAACGAACTTGAAGTTCGGATCTCGGAGGCCTTTTGCGTGTTTGACACTCATGGGGATAAGTACATAGACACTCGCAATGTGGGACATGTTCTCAGATTTTTGGGCTGTGTGCCGACTGAGAGGGAAGTCAACGAGGTCATTGCAGCCACCGAGTCCACAGAGTACCCTGGGGAATCGCAGCTAACAAAGTTTATGGCCCATGTCTCTCAAATACTTATGGCTGGCCAGTAATGTTGCTTCAAGGAACCCTTTATGGTAAAAAAATTGCCTACTAATCCCCATTCTGTCTCCCCACAGAATGAAGCCATCGTCGACTGAAAAGCTGTTCGAGGCATTTCAGGTACTGGATCCAGAAAACCATAAATATCTTACCAAAGAGTATTTCGGAAAGCTAATGCTGGAGGAGGGAGATACTTTCACCGAAGAAGAGCTTGAAGACATGTGGCCTGTGGCCATTGATCCGATCACTGGAAACATTCCCTACACTCTCTATATAAACCAACTAAAGGTATCTATCAGGTGGTGATAATCCTTAGATCTACTCATATATTTTTATTTCTTTGTGTTTCAACCTCAGCACAAGGGCCCAATCTATGAGGTGGCTGCTGCGGTGAAGGCGGAGATGGCTCAGGCAGAACATGGACGTAAGAAGTAAAAGGCAAAAAAAAGCAAGCGTTTTGGCCAGGATCATTATGTTTTAATAACAAATGCAGGGCATATTAAGCCTTTGTTTGAATTCCGCGCCCATTCACTAATTGTCAATAATATCAGTTAACATATGTCGCTGTTAAGAATTTACATACATTTACATACTGACGACAAAACTCCCGAGCTTCCAGAGGGGGTGATTTGAATGAAAAATTCAAATACAAATTTGTAAAATATAAGATCATAAAGCATAGATCCAATAAAAAGTAGTATTTATAATTAGCAAAGTTGTTTCTTCAATCGGATCAAATTATTTTTTCAGTGGTGAAAGTCTTTGCAAGCTAGTAATATCAAATAGTACATCAGAATCGAGGAATCTGTTTTAAGACTACGGTATATTCAAGGTATATTTCGAAAATAAGAGGGTATAATATTAGGTATATTTCCACGGGTTCCTCGGTATATTTGATCGATAACTCCGCGGTCACACTGTCTCCAACCAAAAACAGCCACGTCAGCTATCCACCCCGCCACCCAAAAAAGAACACGTCAACTTTCCACCCATCCAGAGACATCCATTGCAAGGTGAATGAAAAAGTTGCATGAGATTAAACTCGAAAAGCTTGAGGCAGAGGAAATGAAGAAGTTGAAAACGGCAAGGCTGAGAAGCGTGGTCACGGCAAATGAGACGATCTAAGCAAAACAAAAATCAGATAAAATTCGGTGCCCGAGCACAACACACGGAAACGATGCAAGTTTGATTTGGCAACGCTTTCTCAAAGGTTGCGCACTCTAAACAACAGTTGAATATTTTACCTGAGTTTAATTACAAAATGGCACCTACCGCGAATGCCTATTTGATAACCGTGGACACGGGCGTGGCGATGTCAACGAATGCCCTGCCCAAACTGCGACCCGCACCCCTGACAGCGGTTCTGCTCAAGGGGTCGGCCTCGCCCACACGCTCGAGCTCGGGCTACGCCTCGTCGTCCTACGACAACATGGAGGAGGAAGAGTCTCTGGTGGCTACGCCGCCCAAGGCCAAGAAGCGTCGCCTGGATCACCTCACTTGGGAGGAAAAAGTACAGAGAAAGTAAGTGGTGGAAATCGATGGGTGACGAAAATCAATACTAAGGCTTATGCTCTTACAGGAAGCTAAAGAATCGCGTTGCAGCACAGACATCGCGGGACCGCAAGAAGGCTCGCATGGAGGAAATGGAATACGAGATCAAAGAGCTAACTGACAAAACGGAATTACTGCAAAACAAATGCGAGAGTCTACAGTCCATCAATGAGTCGTTGCTGGCCAAAAACCACAAGTTGGACACGGAAGTAGAACTATTGCGTCAGGAACTTGAAGAGATGAAAGAACAACAGAAGCAACAGCAGCAGCAGCACGCCAAAAACATCACCTGCAACAGCTCCAATGCCAACATAGGCGCTGAGGGCTGTGCGTCCACAATCCTTGGATCCGCAGCATCCAATGCTGACCCTCTGCAGCAGGGTACACACACAGTGGACACACAGTCGTCAGCGCGTCTGTTGACGGAACAGCTGAAAAGCAACAAGACCATGGCCTCGCTCTGGAAGGTTGTGGCTCTCTGCCTACTCTACAAGACATGCTGCTCGTCGACGATGAAGAGTTCGACGCGCGGCGACTTGAAGAACTGGCCGAAAGTCTGCTCGCAGATATCACAGCAGACCTGGAAGCTGGCCCTGGAGCGTGCGGCCCAACTGCTGCCAAAGATTCAGGCGACCAAGAGCGACTGCTTGGACCAGTGGTGGGGACCCCAACAGAGCGCCTGGAATCCGGCGGGCATAGAGCTGATGGCCTAAACGCTGAAGAACCCAAACACAGCCTGAATGTGCAGGTGTTGAAGATAAATGGAAACTCACAGCAAGCCACAGCAGCGCCAACAAAAACTAAGACGATAATGACTACGACTACAGCAACTATTTCAGCAGCGGCCACCGCTACACTTGTGCAGGCCACACCGGACACAGTTTATGGCACCTACGATGCCAAGACAAACTCGATAACCATCGTGATGGATGGAGATGCGGTTCCAGTCAATGAGGCCGTTGAGGAGATCTACTGCGATGGTGTCAGCGCTGGGGATGATACTACAGATGTAATTATGAAGTGTCCGCCACCAGCGACGTCTCCATCGCAGGTCTATCTCAACGTCGTGAATGCCACCGACGACTCGGACGACGAGTGCGATTTCAATCGCATTGAATCGTTCCTCTGCCCGCGCATTAAGGCCATTTCCCCATTGGCTAAATCTCCCGCATTGTCTCTACACTCAGCCACCTCCGATCACGGCTACGAGTCCATTCTGGGCTCTCCCACATCCACGATCCTTACTCTGCCCACAGACACGGAAGAGGACTTTCCCTGGCAGAGCAATTTCGATGAGCTGTTCCCCAGCTTGATTTAAGCGCTCCCACAACCGGGAATATTCATTTTTCAAATTGAAAAATCCGTGGGATCCAACAAAGTTTCTCTGTTCTATTGTTAAGTTTGGCCGGCCGCCCTATGATTTAAGTGTTTTAGCTGGTAAGCTGTATAGTAAGAATTTCGTCATCGATGGCTTTATTTGTAAATGATATTTAACTGAAACTCTTAAGTAATCCGTAAGTTTCCATTTATGTTTAACACACACTATAACCACATAGGCTAATCTTTTTGTAATGTGCTCAAAAACGTTATGCGAAAACATTCAAAAAAAATTACAATATATTCAAAATATATACAAGACCACAACACAAACAAATGATGGCCTGACTTCTCTATATCTCATTATTTGCGTTCAGCAAAACTGTGGGCTGTTGTATCTCATGACTCTTGAACACGCCACACTTTCTGGTGCAAAGTACGCATTTCGCATAATCATAGTCGATGCAGTGAGTCACTCGAGTCAGATAGGAAAACGAATACATAGTATGTATGTATGTGTGTACATACATTATACATTTTAATACATACTCTCCTATGCACCGTCATATTCCAACAATAACCAAAGAAGGTAAGCCTCTTGAGATTCCAATCTAACATCCTTGCTAATTGGATTGCCATTTCGCCATTTCCTATGACGGCTATAAACCGGTATATGATGAAACCCCTAATGATTCAGCAGTAACATATGCAAATTAATCTGCTAATTGGAAATTCCAGCCGGTATGAAATAAGAGAACTTTCTTCAAATCGAACTAGTCTTGCCCCTTCTAGTCTATTTCAAATTTGAGCAAAACAAATACACCTTTCTCAAAGGCAATGCCCCCGGAACGGATTATTCTACCGGATAAAATTATATGCTAAGTGCTGAGAGTCCTCGCTAGCTAATAATATTATCCGGAATAAATAAATTGAAGAATATGAATTCCGATAATGGATGGACAACGATTAACCCATTGTCTACCAGTGGGTCGACAAGAAAATTATTAAATTTGTAGAATTTTAGCGCACTTTAGGTTAAACATATGTGTTATGTTAGATCTATTTTTTTTTATAATAGGAGAATATTGAATTCATAAACTATTATTTTTCGAGCTTTAACCAAATAGGGGTCTATATAGGTTAAGTACGTTTCTTATCGATAAACCTGCTGACCACCCTCCCCGAAAAAAAGTTGTATGAAAAAATATTAATTAAGTAGAAAATGTGCTTTAAATTCATTATTATTGCAACGCTCATTGCGCTGAGCAGTTGCGAAATAATTATCGGCCAGGATGAGCTGGTGGATGAGGTCTCAGGGCTGTACACAATCGAAGGACGTGTTTCTCCACCGGACACGATTCTGACACCAGGGCAAGGTGCAGGCAGTGCCCTGAATAAAGAAGACAATAAATGGCAAGTGGACGTGACAATAACCATCAATGATGGCGAGTACAAGGGTTTCGTGCGCGAAGATGGCCAGTTCATAATCAGCGGAGTGCCTTCCGGCAGCTATGTGCTGGATGTCCATCATCCTGACGTGTTCTACGAGCCCGTAAGTCCAACTTGACTGCCCCCAGATAGAGATGCCGTAACGAACGCGAACTCTTTTCAGGTTCGCGTGGAAATCAATCCCAAAGGAAAGTTCCGTGCGCGCAAGGTCAATTTTGTCCAGCCAGCACAAATCTTGCAGGTGGCCTATCCCCTGAGGATGAAGCCACTGATGCCTTTTAAGTATTTCCAGACCCGAGAGCAGTGGAAGGTGGGCAGCGAAAATGGACAGGGAGTTGAATATAATCATTAAATGTAACTTGTATTCCCTGCAGATAACCGACTTCATGTTCAGCCCTATGGTGCTGATGATGGTTCTGCCTTTGCTGCTCATGCTGGTGCTGCCCAAGATGATCAATGATCCCGAGACTAAGAAGGAGATTGACAACTTGCAGTTCCCAAAGGTAAGACAATTTAATAACAGTTGGGTTAAAACGAATGTTACTGATACAGTTGTTTTGCTTTCCAGATGACCAACGACATGCCCGAGATCAGCGAGATGTTGACCTCGTTGCTGACGGGTAAACAGCCCGAGCCCAAGGAGAAGAAGCCGCTTCCAGCCAGCAGGCAGACGAAGAAACGTAAAGATCAGTAAATGTTCATGTTGAGTTCACATAGTATAAGTTCAAAGAGCCCACACTCGAGTAATAGTCAATGTCAGTCGAGAAAAGTAATACATTTTCATACCAAGTCTCCATTATTTTATTTAAGAAACCCAACCGTCTTGGGTCGCTTGGGTCCTACGCGTTCCTCCTCCTGTTTCAGCATTTTGGCCAGAACCGTGTTCAACTGTTCGCCAATCGACAGGCCAAGATCCAGGCAATTGCGCATGGTATCCCTGTGCATGGCGCCGCCGCCAGTCATGTGAGAGCCAGAAAGGAATGCTGCAAGCATTTAATAGTGAAAGTCTCGAACGATTGGGCTGGTCTGCATCTTACCTTCTCCATTTCGCATCGACACGGACACAACTATGCTGACAGTGCTGCAGACCTCCTCCTCCGCCGAAGGATCCACAAGGCAATAGTCGCCGATTTTGCACACAGTGACCAGCAGGGGAACCGTATCAATGGTAA